TATGATTTTAAATGTAATCGTACAAAGTTCTTAGTAACTTTTCTTCACGAAATAAAATTTTAGATATTTGCATAATTTATTGATTTATTATGTTTAAAATGTTGTAAAACAATCGACTGCATATCTGTAAAATAAGAAGCGTATTATTTTTGTATCAAAATTTAAATGGCGAGTTTCAAGTAGAAATGTACTTTTCCGAATTGAAGAAATTCATTTCAATAAGTTTTCTTAATAATGGTTTCCATATATTATAATATACTGTGTATATCTTAATTAAGGCTGCGATTTTGATAAAAATTCAGATTTAGAGTTACGTTTAAAAATGTGGTGATTATGTTAACTTTTGGGGTAATATTGACCATTCACAAGTGAATGTCTTGACCTTTATGATGGTCAGTAGTTTTGCATTTTTACCTTTATATACATATCCCATATGTGGGATTTTCATCTTTATATACATACATATACATACATGTTTTCGTAAACTTAGGTCTGTAATGAATAGAATGAACTGACAAATGAACTCAAAGTTATCTCAGTAAAGAACTCTTCTTTATTAAGATGACAATGTTTTATTTTTGTTAAGGTATCTGCAACATTGATATTGATTTCAATTGTTGTTTGAAATAAAATCAGAGAAATAATAATTTTAGGATTCGTTGCCTATCCAACATTTTTGCAAAAATGAGTTATTACTCGTATGTTCAATAGAGCTGTAGTGGCCTAAAGAATTGTTCAATATTTTCAAAATACTTAGTTTACTTCTCTTTTCACACTATTTTTACATAAGTTCGTTTTTGCGTTTTGAAAATATTTTTGAAAATTAAATATTTAAATATTTCAATCGCAATTTACTCGATATGTTATTTTTGCAAGTAGACCACTAATGTACACAGCGCCTCAAATGTCGTTCAAGAAATTAAGCTTGTGTGGTCGGTTATGTTCATACATTTAATTTTCCAATTGTTATATTAAAATATTAGAAACAAAATTATAAGTTAAAATTAATTCTAAAGTATCAGTGGATAAATTTTTAAATAAGTCACTAAGCAGGAGACTTACAGCAGGTATCTAAGACTTTAGAGGATCAATTTTCAAAAAGAAAGATGTATAGTTTTAGAAAAAAATTTTCAGATCTTACGAGACCTTCTTAAAAATATGTTAATAATAACATGGTCATTATCTTATATCACGTCCTTTTATAGATGGCATATGCCTGTTCGAGTGAAACTAATTTGCTCATTTGAAGTAACGATTCGCGAGTTACAAAGAGCATTTGTGGTGAATTTTAAGTTTCCAAATAACGATCAGTCTGTAATTTGAGAATGAAAATGTAGTATGCATTTGTTAATATCTCTTCCGAAAATTTAGTTCCCTATATGTATAAAAACTATTCTTATATTAAAATAGAATAAAATACAAAATATTCCCAAACTCCATCCAAAATTCAAAAAAATTGCTATTATAATTATGTCTTGTGTTTTGTAAAAGTAGAGTTTTGAAACCTTTAATAAAAAAATTTTATAAATAAAAATTAAAATGGTTTTTAATATTTAAAATAATTAGATTTCTTCTAAATATTTGACACATTTTGACACAATCCAAAATAATCAATTTTTCATTTATATGTGCCATGTCAGTCACTTTTTTATTCCTTTATTGAAATATACAAAAAAATGAAAATATTAATTCCTCCCTTCCTGAATTTTTTTTTTTTGTATAAGAAAGCCAATTTCTTAAAAAAAAAATGTCCCTATAAATTATTAATTTAATATTTTGTATATACAAAAAAAAATTTATCATAATTTCACCTTTATCACCCTCAGCTTGTGTATTTCTTAATCTGGTAGACTACAAATCCACAATCAGATGAGGTCAAAAATGAAAAAAAAAAAAATTTTTTCATATTTAATAAAAAATAATAAAAGTTTTTTTTTTTAAATTTAAGAAAAAAAGGACTTTTTAGCATCACATTGTTCTTTTGAACTGGGCACATGCCAATTATTTGCTATAAATCACAATTTTATATCCCGAGTTCCATTACACATTAAATTCAATACAATAATATATAAGTTTGTATATTTGATTGTATTATAAAAATTTCTTAAATGGACACCCTATTTTACTAACCATCCGTTTTTAACAAAATATTAATAATTATACTTTCATACTTATGTACCTAGATATACTGCGTATTTGGTAATGATATCTTTGGCATATGATACTTTTCTTATAATATAACCTATATATAAATATAAGGATAATATTTAGGAAAAAATTTAAAAGAAACGACTACATAAAAATTGAATATCCTATTCAAATATAGTCCTAGAACATAAACTTCTTTTTTGTCTTATATTTTTCTTTTTTTGAATACTGAATATGAATTTTGAAAAAGAAAAATAAAATCTATATAAAATCAATTCAATTCCACAATTAAGGATCTCATTTTATACAATAAAAATACCCTAAAAAGACCATCAGAGTGGCTAAAATCGGCCGGCGCATGGCTCCTATATTATTATTACTTTAATTTTCGAAACTATGAAAAAACACACATTGAAACATATATAGTTAAATTGAACACACTTATACTCTCTTGTGAGATTACAAAACAGTTTTGCTTTTTCTTATTTTTATCGTATTTTCGTTAAAAAAAAAAAAAAAAAAAAAAACTTTTTTTTCTTGCTGACAGAAAAAAAAATTTAGGGAACAAAACGAAACAAAAAAAAAAACAAAAAAATTTTGTAAAACAAGAAAAAAAGGACAACTGCTTTGGTAACTATAAAAATATCCTTTGAATGAATTTTTTGTCACGGTTTCCAAAATAAAAGTAAAATTTTGTATGTAAAAATGCGTACGGCAAGCAGCTATTAAAAAAAAAAAGAAAAAAAATTTTTAAAAATTGCTTTTCAATAATTTTCAATATATTTTGACCATTGACATACTTTTGTAAAAATGCAAAAGAATTTAAAAAAAAAGGAAAAAATAGCAAAAGTGTTATTAATGAAGGACCCTCATTTCTATATTTTCGTTGATGCCATTTAATACTACTCAAATATGTTTGTACAATTGTGAATATAGCATACGTTTAGGGAGCCTATGTTTAAGAAAAAGGACATTTAAAGTATAGTATTCGTATTTACATACACACAAATTCTCTAAATTGATATACGAATAAAATATTTGTGTGCACATTTTAAAGTCAGATGATACAAGACTCCCTCTCAAATTTATATTGAGAAATCTGGTCAAATTTAATTTTTTTTTTTGTAATAGATAGTGTTGGATTTTAAATGTGGACAAACGAACATGGACATTTTTTTATAATCAAACAGTTTAAAAATTATAAATGTTGTAAAAGAAGAGCAGCTGTTTTTGATTTCTTTAAGTATTTTATTCCGGTTTGTTCTTTGATTTTGCTAAAAAATATAAAAACGTAATATTATCGGATCATAATAATATTAATTACAGGCTAAAATGTGTAGTTTATTTTATGAATCATAAGATTTTTTTAAAGTTCATGTAATCGTTATACCTGTTCTAATAAAAAACCGAATTGTTAAATCAAATTTTAATAATTTTGATTTTCAAACATTGATTGCAAGAAAATGTCAAAATTACCATTATTATTTTTTATACTAGCTATATAAATGTAAATATCAATAGACATTCTAATTAAAAATATACTAGCTTTGATATTTATAATAAAAATTTTCTATACACGTCGTCTCTAAGACTGAATCTTAACGATACTAAAAAATAACTCTAATTTTATCGACTTCTCATATGAAATTGTTGGATTGTAAAATTTTGCAAAGTGGCCATTATCCAGACATTTTTAACCGAAATGGGTGTAAGACCCATATTTTGCTACTATCATCATATTACAAAAATTCTGTTTGGGGTTCAAAAGACAATGTAACGAAAGTGATAGTAAATATGGTAATGAAAAAATTTCGATTTTTTTCTCACATTATTTTTTTATCTTTTTAAATCGAAAATCAAATTTTCAATATATTGTGCATATATTTTCACATCTTCATCAGTGTAAAATAGAAATGGTTGAGATCGTGAAAATGTGTGGCATATATTTTGCCAATAAACAGTTTTTTTACAAACTTAATTTCTACTTAAATACCTACATATATATAGCCCATGAATAGAAAAATTATTTTTAAATAATAATTTATTATGGAATATGTATTCTGAGACCCACAGCTGGTTTATGGAAATTTATGAAAGTTACAAAAATAATAGTGAAAGAACTGTCTGCGGCTCAAGACCACAGGTTAAACATACCATAAGCTTAAACCGTAGATTGGCATTACAATAAGTATTTTTAATACTATATAGATGGAATTATTAATGTCATGAATTATTTTTTTATTTTGTCTTGTTTATATAGTCTACGCAAATTTGTGAAGGAATAGTCAATTACCTTTCGGTATACGTTCTAGTAGAAGCAAAATGGAAGTTTGGGCTGCTGTTTCAAAATTAAATTGCTGTTTCAAAATTAAAAATTTAAAATAAACAATAGAGAGACTAAGAAGCTACCTGGTATTTCATTGAATTTGATTAAATTCAATAAAATATAATGTGTATAATATGCATCTATTATCTAAAATTATCTGATTTATTGTAAAATTTAAATTTACTAATTTTTTATTATTTTTATGTGATGCATTTTTATGGTTTATCTACTATATTAAATCAGAATTACTTTTAAACCAATAATACATTTGTTTTTTTTTTTTTAGCTTGGACACAATCCAATTTTTTAAAAATATTAAGTTCTAAGTTGTTCTAAATTTTAGTTAGTGATCCAACCGCAATTACAATAATCTATCAATGGTGTTTTTACCACAATAAATTTTTTGTTTTCTTGTTACTACAGTCACCTACAGTCTTTTTCATAGTTAGTGTATATTGGCGATAAAAATTTACTCAAAGATTACATTATAGTTTTGTTTGATTTTTTTATTTAATCTTATTTAGTATCCTTAAACAGTTAATATGTTAGAGTTATAATTTTCTTTTTACAATTACATTACTAATTTTTGTTATTTAAATGCTTATTTTTAAATAAATCTTAAAATTTAATGAAATTTTCTAAGTATAATAAAATATTTGTAATAAAAACATATAAACATAATAGCAAATACAATCTTACATACGTGTATATATATATTATATGTATACTCATATAAAATTCAAAAATAAAAATTAAAAATAAACAGTTAAATTATTTTCTGTTGAGCCCATATTATCTGTTGAAGACATTAATTCTGAATTTTTATTACCATTTGGCCAACATAATTTTTTTTGAGCAGGACCATTGGGACTTTCATTCGGATTTATAATTGATTCGCCATCAATCATTTCACCATCATAAAGTTGACCACCTTGTGCTGCCGATGCTCTTGAAACTATACCTAAAATTAATTTATATTTGAAACAATATTGTACGGCAAACTTTCATAAAATTTTTTCAATATTGAAATTATTTACTTCTAACAGTAGCCGTATAATTTTCTCTTTGTCTTTCAAGTTCCCTTTCACGTTGGGCTTCTCGTTCTAAGCTTGCGGCTAAAATTGTTGAAGCTCCAGCACTTAAACTACTTCCAGAACCATGATGATGACCATTTATTGGATTTGACATTGTAATATTACCACCAAGTGTATTATGACCATTTGTTGTCATTTTTTCATGTGTTACTAAACCGGCTGATGAAACAGTACTATGTGCCTGACTATGTACACGATTTCTGGATTTAACAGGTTTTTTCGAACGACATATATAAAATGATAATCCAAGTATGATTATAATAAAAGCACCAACAATTAATAAAAACATTCCAAGTATATTATCTGTCCATGATGTTTGTGCTAAAGTTAATCCTTCCATTGTTATTGTTACAGGAACAGAAGTACTTCTTGGCGGTGTACCAGTATCTGTTGCTGTTGCTATCAAATGAATTGTTGATTGATTTATTGGTGATTCTGGTCTCATATAAATATTTCCAGTTGAATCTATTTCAAACATATTTGAATATAAACCTTTTAAAGATATTTCTAATTTGTCATTTCGATCACCATCAGCTGCTTCCAATTTGCCAATTTTAATACCATCTAAACTTTCGGTTTCAAGATTCTAAAATTTAAAATCAGAAAATGGTAACTATCAGAAATTAATAAATAAAATCATATTTACTTACATCTTTTGAGACAATAAATTCATAATGTGAAGCTCGAAATCTCGGTTCCCAGTCATTTACATCAATTACTTCTATAGTGACTTCTGTTGTTGTATTACTCAAACCATCTGAAGCCACAACTTCAAAAACATGTTTTGTCATTTTTTCAAAATCTAATGGTTTTTGCAAAATCACTTCACCTAAAGAACCCACTGAAAAATATTGTGATTGCACTAAATCTGGTATATGATATTTTAAGTGTTTTCCAGGTTTATTTGTAGGCAGTGATAATAGACGACTTCCAACAGTAGAATCTTCTCTTACACGAACAGTGAATTTCTTTTGAAGAAAATTTAATGCAGTCATTCCACTATGAGTACCAGGTCTTGTTGTTGTAACTGTTGTTAATGCATATCTATCAAGATTGTCTATTTGTGTTGCTTTTATAACTAATGTTGCACCATTAAGAAAGTCAGTGTAACCGATTGGTGTTATTAAGCTTATAACACCAGTTTTTGGATTTATTCGAAAATATTTTGTATCTGGTGATTGTACCATCGTGTATTGTATTGGTGCACAAATGCCTTCATCTTGATCAATAGCTTTTATTGGTTCCGGATGAGTTTTAATTTCACTTGGCCTTCCGTCTAAAGGCAAATCACCACGATATAATTCTTGTAAAAATTTTGGATTTTGATCATCAGCATCGGTAATAATAACACGTAATAGAGTATCAGAATGTTTTGGTGGTACACCTTGATCTTGAGCTCTTAAACGAATTGTAAAATTTTGCAATGTTTCATAATCAAGAGCTTTTTTCAAAACCAAAGTTCCTTCTAATGGATTTAAAAATTGTACAAAATCTGAATTTGGACCAGGTAAAACAGCATATTCAACTGTTGAAAAAGGTCCTTGCTGATCATCATCTACAGCACGAGCACCTTGTAATATTCTTGTACCTGGCACTGTTACCTCCGATAAAGTTAATGTATATGGTGCACCTATCCATTGTGGAGCATTATCATTTACATCTGTAACACGAACATTAACTGGGATCACAAAACTCTAAAAATAAAATAAATGTATGTAATATAAATTTTTTAAGTAATATTCTTAAAGAAAAATAATATAGAATTACAACAACATTATTTAAAGTTTTTAGAATTATATCTGATGAAATGTTTTAACATTTAAGTACCTTTAACTTTTTTAATTATTTTAAACCTAAAATTTTAATTAACACGTTTTTGGTGTGGCATATGAGCTCATAACGAAAAAATGTCCTAGTTTTACATTCCCTATAATTTTTTGCCTTTCAGTTTATTAAAATAATTTTCTTGACATCAATATAAATTTAGTTATAGGTTGGAAGGAAATGGAAATAAAAGAAATCCTAATAGCTCCCATACGTAACTAAATATCTACATAATTTACATATGTATTGTTAAAGCATCACATATCCAAACAAATTTTAATGATCAAAGTTTACATTATATGCAATTGCATTGCATTTCATTATTTTATCAGTAACTTTTACTTTAAATCAACCAAAATATGTTATGAAGTCATGCAAAGTTCACAAAGTTTTTATTTTATTATTTGTAACATATTATTTTTTTTTTAAATAATTTTAAATATTATTTATGTAAAATTTGATGAACTCATAACTCGTGCAACATTAAGACAAAAAATGACCTATAAAATACTTTTAAAATGGAACAACTTCTACAAACATTGTATTAATGCTCTTCTGAGGTGTATGAAAGTGAAAAGATTAATTTTTTTAGCAATTTTTCATTTAGATTTTTGTTATTATAAGTAAAGGAAAAAATTTAATTTTTAGCTCTTATATTTAATGAAAAAATATAAGAGTAAGTGTTATAATTTAATGTAACAATGTGTCTTTATAGGTCAGAAAATTAAAATTTGATCTCGGAGATAATTCAGTAGAAAGAGAATTTGAATGAGTTCAACACCTCAATGAAACATTTAAAAACTTTCCAATATTTTAATGCATAATTGAAGAGGATTGTTCTTTACTAAGTTTTATATCAAACTAAACAAAAATTTCTAAGGATATATGATTCCTTTCTCATCTAACAAAGAGATGTAATGCTGATTTGTTTTAAATTTGAGATATTATACTTATACCTGTCTTGTTAATTAATGCATTAAAAAACTATGAATATTTTTTGGACTAAAACTTTTAAAATGACTTTTACTTAAAAGCGATGTTTTGGGATTACGTTCAAGCAGGGTTTGGGAGGAATAATAAAGTTTTTTTCTGAGTACAAAATATCGTAGTTGCAAAAAAGCTTCAATTTATAGTCATTTTGTATAATTGTTATTATTTTAGTTCATGAAAACTAAATTTGATTCCAAGCACTTCAAAAATAATTCTAATGTTAACTTTAAGACTTGATCAATAATTCGGCCAGATGAATATCCACTTATATAGGTTTTGTTTTGAATTCAACTTTATATTGGAAATTGTAAAAAATATATCCTTCTTCTTGGTCATTTTATAAAGGCGGACACTGAAGATTTGAATTAATAAATAATAGGAACAATTTAATATCTGAGTTCTAGTTGACAACGAAATTAAATGTGAAACTTTTCATAGAAATCGGAACATCTACTAAGAACAAAATTTATGTTTTTCTAGGTACATTAACTAAAAGACTTATTAGTTTTCACCGAATTAGAAATTTGTGTTCAAAACACATTTTCACATTTTCAGTTGCTTATCTGCTGATCACATCGTCGGTATTACAGAGAAGTCAAGATACTTCTTTTTTTAAGTTTCGAGAAAAACGAATTTAAAAATATACAAAGTTATTTTTCTGAAAATACTAACGTTAGAGTTACGTGGGTTTTTTATAAACCTAGTTTAGAAAACTCTGAATTTTTCTGTATATATCAAAACTCTCAAAGCAGCAGTTTCTCTTCCATAATATCGACGACATAAGATTGTTTTTAATATTGCTACGAGTATTTGTTGTTACAAGAGAGTTATTAGCTCAAATAATGCTTAAAACAAGACTTACAGAAACAAAAATCATTTTACTTAACATTTATTTGAAAAAATTAAAAAAAACTTAAGAATTTCAGAACGTATTAGCTGTGTAAAAATGAAAATTTTGTCATATATTTTGTTACAAGCAGATGTGGAACACTCCAGTGATTATAATTTCGAAAATGACTAAGATATTTACACTAGCGACTCCGAATAGTAAACCGAAAATGACTAAGATCATGAATATTACATTAATAGAAGAACCATAAATATTATTACAATATTCCATAATTTTTCATAATTTTATAGAAAAAAAATATAAAAATTATAATTTGTTATTGTAACTAATTATGTTTTCCCTTTTTCCCGCTACAAAACCACTTAAGCTGATTTCAATTGTTGTCTTCTATAAAGTGCTAAAGTCAAAAACAATGAACGAAAATATTTTTTTTAAAGCAACGACAACATTAAATAAAATTTATGATATCAAGAGCACATTTTTAACAAAAAACTTTACAAAAAAAAGTAAAAACAAAAACAAGTCATAAATGTCTTCTTTTTTTTGCATACTCGATGGCAACTTGCAACTTATCATTTTATTTTCAAAAGCATGCTATCGACGTTACTCATAATCTGTACATATTTGCCCACAAACAATTCGCAATTTAAATTTTCTACTAATACAAGAAAATTATTAAACTGCATTTTTTTTCTTGTAATTCCAACCAATATGATGAATAAGTGCTTTTTAACCCTCTTTTCCCTGATATTGCCCTTATCTTTTCCATTTTTAATTTAAACAATACTTTTATTTATTTTTTTACATGGCTTTACAGGTATTTTTTTTTTTATTTTCCAAGTTTTTCAAAGTTAGACGAAGGATTGTTAATATCAATAAAATTTCCTAGAAAAAAAAAACAAAACAAATTTAATCATAATATCGAAACAATCACAATAACAACGACTGGTTGCTTACTTGAAAACTACATACTGTAAAAAAAATATCCCCTATATGAAAGAATAGGATATTCTGGTCAATAACCCCATTTTCTTATTATTACTTTTTTTTCTCTAAATATGCAAATGTAGTGTGTAAATACACATTTATTTTTAACGTCAAAACTTCCAATGTGTTGACTTAACAATTCATGTAGGTATACAATATTAGCAAGAAAAAGTCGCTTTTTATACTCAATACAAATGCAAATCAGTAAAATTTCCTAATTTGCATTATTCGTTTTAAATTGTTTTTACTTTTTGTTTTTTTTTTTCTTTTTTGACTTTTTATTTTTCTTATTGATTTCTTTTGCATTGTACAATATCAAACTTTGAAGATGGTATGAGTAATATTATAGGGGAGTGTGTTTCATATTAAAAACAATAAGGACTCTATATTTCCTTAAGTTTTTAGCACTTTTCTACAAAAAAATTTTGAAAATAAGTGCTTATTAGTTTAACTCTATCAGTCCGTCCGTCCGGGGACATGCTTAAAAAACTTCTACACTCTTGAAAATAAAAAGCGGAAATTTCATATGCTCATAGATCTTTTCTAGAAACTTATTCGGCGGAAGAAAATTTTTACCCCTCTACAAGTTATACCACCACAAAACCATAAAAATGCCATTTTTTAACTGTTTCTTGCAATGAAACTATAAGTATTTGGCTGGCCTCTTCCACCGCGGAATACTATATTTGTGCTTTAAAAAAACAGATGTTCGTTAAAATTTACCTTTATCTAAAATCCCTTTTTTTAAATTTTTAATGTCGTTTTTCTTCTATACCCCAGGTTGTAGGAGCCTGAAATTTAAGCAGCTTTTAGATACTAATAAATAGTTTATTTCATTAGAAGAAATTTTTTTTCCATCTCCACCGCCTCTCAACTTATCGCCTGTTGAAATTTGTGAAATTTGAATATTTTCCACCTTATATTTCCGAAACCGCAAGCTTTTTCAAATTTCTATAAACGCAGGAAGCTAACGGTAAATTCCATGACATTAAAAAATATAATTATTTTTCTTAACTCACACAATTAACCTTTAAAATCGAGCATTATGTTAAACCCCTCTTTATATTAATTTTTGCTTTATTTCAAAGACTGCATAAATCGTTCATCCTAAATATATGTAATCCCACAAATAGTTTCGTATATGAATGCAAATATTTTTTATAGTGTGGTAACTACACTGTATTTAAAAGCAGCATTTTCACTTATTGAAGGGAAAAGTGCTACAACACAAACCATTGGTTTGACCCAACTTTTTTATTTATTAAAATTGTCTACAATAAGATGTTTAAGTGCATATAATTATTGGAAATAAATGTAAAATATTATGGTGTTATAACACCACAAATTGAAAAATATTATTTATAAATTGTTTTCAATATTTAATTCTGGTAATTTGACCTAACAATATCAAAGGAGACCTGCTTGAAGTAATTGGCCATATTGTATATTAAGTAAATAATTACTAATATTACACAATTATATTGATATTAATCATATTTTCGAGTATATGTATGTACATATGTACATACGCATATGTAGGTATTACAAATCAAAACAGTAATATTTTATTCAAGACTCTTTAAAAAATTTTTTGTATTTACAAATTATTCGTGATACTATGTATAAATTTCTATATGAATAAAGTGATTTTTAGTATAAAGGCACGCAATACGTTTTTCATTCATTCATTTATACAATAAATTTGAATAGTAAAAGACCAAATACATTTACAATTTCCAAAATACTTTAGTTAAAAGTGATTCGCAATTATTTGAAATTATATAACAAATATGTATGAAAAAAAGTAAATTATGTAAATTAAACGTGAGTTTGTATTGACTTTTAAATTTTAACAGAATATTCGTAAAGAAATAATGTATTTATATATTGTGATGATTTTTTATATACTTACAGGATCTGTAGAATGCCTTCTATCACATATAACATTAACATAAATCGATGATGGTCCTTTAACACCCTCTTTATCTAATGCGACAATTAATGCTAAATCTTTTGTACCAGGTATAATTTTAACAGGTGCATCTTTTTCTCTTAGCGATAAATTAATATCACCTTTATCAATACTTGGATTACCATTAATACTTAAATGTCCGATTACCGAACCAACTGTCATATTTTCACTTGCAAAAAAACTTTCTGCTGAACCGCCACCTTCGAGATAACATCTCGAATCTAATATCACACTTTGAGCTGAAATTAAAAATTTAAAATAATGAAAAAAAAAAAATTATTAGAAAAATTTGTTATTCATTTTTTTTTAAGAAATATTTGTTAAGTATTAAGAATGATTAAGGAGAATTGGTTTACATTGATAGTATTGCGCCACTGTAGTGTACAGCCATGCAAACTAACACTAAGTGTGAATATTCGGGCATTCGTTGATGTCGGAAGAAAATTAAAGTGTTTTTAAATTATTAAATTCGGACGACATAATTTATTTTTATTTTTAACATCACCATTAAAAACACATATAAAGCAATTATAGCTGCATAACTTTCATTAGTAAATGTTCTACATTCGAATTTATCTACTACTTGTTTCATCAGGAACAACAAATTTTATTTACTTAAAATTTGTGAAATGGAAAATTTACTTAAAATTTTGAAAACTTAAGAAGATTTAAAAATTTAAGCAATTTTATTTAAATTTTCATAAAAAAAATGTTCAAATTCGGAGATAATTTAAGTTTCATTTCGAACGGAACGAAAAGAAGGAAAATGCGCAATAAATTGGCGACTTACTAACTTTAATTCTTACAAAACAGAATCTGTTTGTGGGTATTTGAAAAAAAATTTATTCCACCTTTATTCATTGGCAAAATGTTTTTTGAAAATGATAAGCAAATAATTTTTCAGCTTTATTTAAATGATTTAAACAACCCTGAACCTTTGATCCTGAAAAAGTTTGTAAAAAGGCGTTCGAATATTCTCTTTTCCAAATAAAAGACAATAATTCAAATTTATTTTTTGGTTTCTCCATATTCTCTCAAATTCAAAATTTTATCTTCCTTTTTGTACAAAAAATTTGCCTAATGATATGCAATTTTATTTGTTATTTTTAATAGAGTTTGAACTTGCTATACATAATACAATTGTTTGAAACATTCTTTAGAATTTAAAGCTATTTTCGATGTTATAACAAATTTCCCTTTAATATCACCTAGCCTTTTATATTTTAGAACTTACAATATATACATATTATAACTTAATTAAATCGTATGAGTGCTATAGAAAGCGTATACGAGTATATACACAAAATTGCTTTAATTTTTGAAACTAACATTTGAAAATTAAAATTCATATATAAGTTCAATTAGCTATATGTTTATTGAAAAGTAAAGTTAATTTATCAACTATACATAAATAAAATTGTGAACATTTTATAATCATAAATATGCTCTTACGAATATTTACATAACCATCCACATCAACAACTCTATTGTAACGATATAGTCGAAATGCTCAAGATTAGTAAAATAAGACTATTATAAAACAAATACAAGTATATGTATGCGCACTTGTTTATCATGACCAAAAATTAAATTCATTTATACTAATAAAATTCTGATATACTTATATAAATATACAAAAAAGAAACTAATTAAAATGCATTTAAGACTGACTATAATAATTGTTATGCTCTGGTAACTTGCAATACGTGCTTAATGTTGTATATATAATTATATACATAAACTTCAATAGAAAAATAAGTAGATAAGTATATGCACCTGAGTTTTTAACCAGCTACACCAGAGCATTTTACAGTATGTAAACGAAAAAATAACGGCTATACCATGTAAAAGTATTTTTAATAGCAATGTTCATCTAAAAAAGACTTACATACAATTATGCCTAGACTACACATGTTCATTTAAATTACTTTAGCTATTAAAAGTCTATAATAATCTAGAAGCATTTATTATGATATGCTTTGTAAAATTTTTATTAATAGTTAATTTACTAAAAATTGTAACGCATATACGATGCAGTGTTAATAAATGTTTAATATATAAGTGAAACCTGACCCACATTTCTATAATATACTCATTTTTAAGTAAGTATATAATTGTTAACAAAAATGTTAGATGCCAAAGTCACATTTAATTATACATTCTTGTTATTTTTTTTTTCATACTGCTTGAACTCCAAATTATTAAACAAAGAACGGACTGCAGCAGGAAATTTTAGAAAAAGAAAAACGAAAATGCATTTAATTTCCAACATTTATGTTAATTTTTTTTTATAAAACAAAATATTTTTTTATGAAATTTTCATAATAACACAAAAAAATTTACAATCAAATTCTTAATATCCGGTGTTTTCGGTATACTACTTAAATAAAGTTTATAATTTATCCGGAAGTTTCTAATATAACAAGTAATTTTTCAAAAAATTTAAAAACAAAAAAAATGCAAGTACCTATGTATGTTTGTAACTATATATAATTATGAAGTACCTATATACTAAATATAACTTTCATATCAGAAGAATCGATTTGTACAGTCAAGTTACGTAGAAGTACAGCGATTATAGAAGTATTCAGTGATTGTCTTTATTGATTCAATAATATAAAAGTAATTTATTCAAATATACTCATTTAAAGTATTAACATAATAATTAATTCCAGAACGTTCACTTTACGCAGTTTGAAAATTTGCAAGAGTATTTTATGTGTAATACGTTATTAACCGCAATATACGCATATGGGTACTAATAAGGCTTAATTTCAAGAAATCAGTTACATAAATAATATTTTTTGCAAATATATTGGTTATTAACACCACATTATGCACCAATCCTGTAATAAGTAAAAATGGTACATTTAGGTTTAAAGTATAAAGTTCCTTTGAAAAGAAAACTATTAAAAATTGTAAAAAAACTCGCACATTACCTATCTGTAGCAACTTTTCTGTAGCTCTTATATAAGTTTAAAAATGTATATAGATTAAAATATCTTCCGGCAATATGTTAATCAGCTCATCTAAGTTTACCAAAATTCTTATGATCTTTTCTAACTATGAATTCTTCTATTTGAACACCATGACTATATATTTGAACACAAACCTTTATAGTTTTAAATGTAATTGTATGGTAATAATTACTGCATGTTAAAGTGCGTAATATCACAACCAAGTTTTATTGAAACAAAGGTCCTATTGCAGAATTTAATTTCTGTTTAGAAGATACTAGTGAAGTATCAAGAGTAAATTACTTTTGAAGTTGTGTGAAAGTTTTTCGAACCACTGCTTCGGTCGAATTCAGATAAAATAAGGTTCGTACGGTAACATTGTTAAATGTTTTGTGGAACACTCGAGTATTCATTACGTATTAATATCAGGCACAAAAATTTATAATTATTCACCAGTTTAATTAATTTGGTACATCTTTCTTAAAAAAAGGCCTACTGCCTCGATATTATTGTACATCTTTTCTTAATGAAATATATAAATTCTTTGGACAATCTTTCAACAGAACCATAAATGCAATTATCTGGGATTAGTATGTTAAATGCATGTATATAAAATGATGGTATAAGATGCATACTTTAATGAACCTTAAAAATATTTGACGAAAAATGCTTGCATTTATTGATGTTTTTAGCAATTTTTAATAAAATTATTTTCTTAAGTAGTAAAAATTATGAAATACTACAAATATTTATACCGCGGTATAGCATCTTTAAAGTTCATTCAAATGGAAAATAATTTTGTTTTTTTTAAACGTTCATATAAAGCAGCTATGTCGATTACCTGTTTAATCATTCGAGCATGTATTTACATATTTATTTACAAATTATAAAAAGGAATGAAAAAAAAAATATGAAAACACCTGTTGTTATGTTATCACAAAAAATGTTGTTGCTTTATCTTTTATATTGAATATGTCTTTAAAAAAATTTTTGTATCGATATTGAAATTCGTCTAGAATCTAGATAGAATTTGTATATACAGAAAATCCAAAAACTTATAGCAATTGGGTCACACTCATGCTAATTTGATTTACAAGTTGATTTTTCTTTAATTTTTGCTAATAATGGACAAATGCTTTACTTTTTAATACAAAATTATTCATGTTAAATTTAAAATAAAGTTCTTATAATAATTTTAGAATTAATTCAAATAGATTTGAGGGAATTTAAACTGTCAAATCTAGGGTTATTAATAATAAATATTTTTTGAAAAAAATATTCCGATTGACTTTCTCTTTTCGTTTTTCTTGCTTGTAAATGAGTCCTCGAAATGCAAGTCATTAACTAACTACACTGTATCCAAACCTAAAATTGGGAAATGATAACTTCTCCCTCTCCCGAATCGTTATTCATTATAATTAACAAAATATTAAATCTTAGTCTCCTATTTTTTCGACATTTAAGTATATGTTTTAAATTTCTGCGAAAGCCAGAATCAAAGAGTATAATCGTACTCTTATTCAAAACTATACCATTGGACCATTGAAATTAATATTAGAAAATAAAATTTAAGCCTTATTTTCTAAATTATTCTTAGAAAATTATTTCCCTAAAATTTCTCCAAAAAATTTATGCAAAATTGTATGATTATTTTAATAAATCATTTTCATTACTTAAACCTAATTTCATATATTAGTATATTAATTTGAATTAAATTTGATATTACAACAAATTGAATTTTAAACCTATACCGAAAAAATTGAAAAGCATTAAATAAAAATAATGAAAGTATTTAGAACAATCCCTGTGGCAGAAGAGATTAAGTAAGAAAATCGTTCAAACCAGTTAAATAATAGTTAAAATAAGTTTTGGAAGTATTCACTTTTTTAGGTTGTATAAAATTAATTATCTCATAATATATCATGGATCATGGAACGTATACCTAATACTTTTATTTTCACAATTGAAGAAAATTTAACAATAATATCGTATCAAAACAAATATCGTATCACAGAAAAACAGTGCAGAAATGAAGTATAATACCGTACAGGATTTCATAATAATTAGTTATGATTAATTAAAATTATTATATAAAAATCATACTTTTATTTATAAACAATAAAACAATGAACGGACGAAATTTTCGAAATGTGTAAATTATACTAGTCATACTTTATGAATGAAATTGTATAACATGTAATATGTCTTCTGTCTAGTATATTCACACATATCTATATTTAAATTGTATATGTACATATATAAAATACTCGTATATTTTAAAA